GAACAGGTCCCAGTCCGAGAAAAGGATGGAAGGATGCTGTTCATAATATGTCGCCAACTTCCGGTAAAGGAGACGGCGTAATAAAGAAGAAGAAGAAGAAGAAGAATGGATTGTAACTGCAGTAGAGTCTTGATTGTCGAACCTTAAGTTATCTGATTTTCCATTTCATCTGACATGCCATGTCGGAACTCTCCATTTTACTGTCCAGGCACTGGGATGACGTTTCCACAGAGAAAAGAAAGGAGGCTCTGAAGCCATAGCCATTACCAATATCTTAAAAAAAAATCTTTTATTTACAAATTTACATTATGTTAAATATAATCTTTGTTTCTGAGAGTTTTTTCATCTGATGCCACATTGTATTTTCTTTGTAATTTAATAATATTGTAAATTGAGTTGGATATTTACCCCATATTTTTTGTTGGGTCTTCTGTAATATCTGACATTTTTGGTTACGTGGCCGTCCTTTGGTCCTGTTTAGGTCGGACAGTCACGACTCAACCTGCAACAACATTTTATATAAGCCGAAGGTTCTTTATTGTGACCGAAAGTTTTCAATACTTGACTGTATCCTGATCCCATTGAATCTAGTTGACATCCTCGCTACTTACTGCTTTTATGTCCATTTTAATATTATTCTTCAATCTATGCTTAAATTTCCTGAGTGGTCTAAGAGGTGATTCGGCTAATCCATGAAAGGAAGATGATGATGGTAGACAAAGTAGTGGTCATTTGAATCTCTCCTGATCATATTTAGACGGACTGTTACTTCAGATTTCTTACCATTTTAATTCAAATTTTACATCATTTGATATTTAACACGTAATTCTGCAAATGGAGCGTGCGTGTCACGAGAAAACTGCTCGTATGTCGTTGATTTATTAACGCATTAAGAAGTTATCAAATTCTCCACCAGATATCACAAATCGTTTTGAGCTTAAAATTTACGTAGGAGCTTTATATAATACTTAGACTAAAAAAAGAGTTTTAAGAAAATGGTTGTTATAATGAGGGTAAGAGATGGGAAAACGTAATTGCGAAAGCTTTATAACGAGTAGAGAATAAATGAATGGATGCCATCTTGCAGGTCCCTCCGTGGGTGAGGGAGGAATCGTTGGACAGGTTAGCTGGAGACTCCCCTGACTGGACAGACAGAGGCACAGCCGATGGGAACTCAGTGCAGCCAGACAGTGACTTCGGTGAGTTGTCGCAGAATCATTAATTGCGGCTCCAGCCAAAAATCTGCATTACTTTGTGGAAAGGAGACACCATGGGTGCTGCCAGGAATTTTTACAAGGGGGAGGGGGGGAGATTTGCTTAGGTCTAAGCCACATTCTGTTTAATTCTGTCTTCTTTACTCTTGATAGAAGAATACATTTTTGTAAAACAAATATTAATGTTAATTATTAATATTTGGTATAATTCCTTGTTAATTTTTTTTAATTTTAAATTTTTAAACGTTTAGGGGATATAGATACCCCTTTCCCAACCAGCTGACACCCAGCAATCTGTGGAGAGTGTCATAAGCTGGCGACTTGACAGTTTTTTTTTTTTTTTTTTTTTGACTGGAGGTTTTGTTGACTGATCACGTACTGTAATTTAGATATTTAACATTTTAATCTACTTACGTACCACTGCGTCTTTAATTCAATTGTAGGTTTTACCAAAAGAAGTTTATACATCACTGTGAGATTACTTCTGTCCGAATCATACCTCTTGGGTGTGGTGCGGTAATACAGATTTGCACAAGCACACGAACACTCTCCATAGTCCAGTCTGTCTCAAGGAATAATATGAGAATAATAGAACATTAGCCGCCACGGTGGTCTAGCGGTTAGAACGCTGGTCTTGTAATCCTGGGGTCTCGGGTTCGATTCCCCGGCGGTGCCCGAATTTTTAACTTGTGTTGGGCAAGGCCGTGGTCTAGGCAACACGGAGTTTTCCTCCGTGGCATCCCAGCAATTACTCCATTCACACACAGAAGAAGGCAATGGCAAAAAGACACTTGGTCCAGGTGACACGTACATATATGATTCATCAGTTACAAGGTACGATACTGGCCTTCCTGTATTTTTTAATTAAATTATTCTTAAGTACGCACATGAAGGGGACGACAATTAACTAGTTTAATTAGGAACTGAGAATATTGACCTTGAGGTTTTCAAGGCATTGTGAATATAGATGTAGTCTGGCTTGTTGTCATGCGTAATATTTTGAAAAGGGTCAAGGCTTCAGAGGAACATACTGCCTCTGTCATCAGGGCTGAAATGAATAATGTTGGGATATAGCCGGACATTGGTCAGACCATGTGACCTTAACCATTTCCCAGATCCGTACAAATCAACCACTACCAACACTCGTCAGTTCCGTCCTGTTGCTGTGCGTTCCCCTCGCATATCGGCATAGAGCTTAAATACTGCAGGGCACAGCAACGCAGAAGATGGTCTGACTTTGTGTTATTCTGCATATTTCATGGGGTTAAATATTTGGGTGTGTAGATCTCCGGAGCTAAGGGAGTTGATGTTTATGTTGTGGCTGTGCTAACCAGAACGCCTGTGTGCAGACGAGTTCTCCAGTCAGGGCAGCGAGAAGGATTATCAGAGCAGTGTGCTGACTCAATGTCCAGTCATCTCAGAGTGTGCCAGCGCACCAGCAGCGGATGCTGTGCCGAGCATCGGACGGTGCCAGGCCCTCTACGAGTATACGGCCAATTTATACG